ATTTTTTGGTTTTTTGCTTCGATTAGGAATTTGTCTTTGAAATGACCTCTATGGTCAACTTTGATCCATAACATGTGTTTAATATTAATTCAGCACTTTGCGCCTTTCAAATTTCGCGGTATGTCACAGCGATTCGCCTGCGCCCATTCGGTCATCTGCGCGACGCTTCGGCAGCGTTCGGCTCCCCACCCAAGCAATATCGCGCCGGCCCGGAAGCCGGGTCCTCTCGGGAGAAAAACTGTCTGTACAACGTGAGCGGCCATCAGGCAATAAAGTTTTATTTTTGTGAGATCCATAGCACAAATTCATTCGGGAGAATCCAGTTCCCGGCCTACGTAAGGCAATCATCGAGAACACATTATCCACAATAAATCCTAAATAAGAGGGACACGTGTCCTTCGAGCACGCTTCCCGAAGCAGTGAATACTGGGGAAACGCGTGTGGCACATGCCGCCATTGTCATTGTCAAGACGACGCATGCCAGAATCCTCAACATTTTGGTCCTTCGAGCCGGATTTTACAACGCTCACGTTGCTGCCGCCCACAGGGCATTCGAGACCAGCCTTTTGGAAATACATAACCTCCTCGACCACCAGGAAGCGAGGACCGCTGTTACAATCTCTCCGTCAATCGGGAGGATTTCGAGCATCTACGACGCCCAGCTCATCCAGTCAATCAGCTTAACGCAACCAGCCTATCCGGGAATCGGCCTACATACAGGATCCCGTGACGTTCGCGTGGTTACCTACGACGCCCTCGTCCCCCAGGATTAACGACGTCGGCACGGCTTTAGCGCGCCTTGTCGTGCGATTACACTTCTGCATTCGAGTGTAAGGGCAGCTATTTCACGAGCGGTGCCAATCATTTCTTTATTGTATCGTTTCTCTATATCGCGTCAGTCATGGCAAATGATGACGAGGACGTGGCCGTGCTCAAACGCCGACGCGGAATAATACTCGGTTCCTGCACGCGAATACGAACATTCGCGGATTCAGCCGGGCCCGTTACGCCGTCCGTGGCAGCGCAACTCGAGGAACGCCGTTCCAAGCTCGAGAGTTATTGGTCGGAATACGACAGCGTGCAAACAAAAATAGAATTGCGCGACGAAAGCGAAGCGAATAATCGAGTAACGTTTGAGGACGCCTATTTCTCGTTGTCCGCCAGGTTACGCGAAATGCTTTCCATTACAGCGCTGCCGCGTGCCGCTGCCTCCCCCTCACCGTCGACTTCGAGTGCCACAGTCACAGAACATTTCAATCACATTAAGCTCCCCAAGCTTGACTTGCCGAAATTTTCCGGAAAATATGACGAATGGTTTCCGTTCTTCGACACGTTCAAATCTCTAATACATGCAAATGCCGCGTTGAGCGATATTCAAAGACTACAATACTTAAGGGCCTCTCTCACCGGAGATGCGGCCAAGTTAATCATTGCGTTAGAAATTTCTAGCGCGAATTATGAGGTAGCCTGGAATCCGCTAAAGGAACGCTACGACAATAAACGTGCCATCGTGCACAGTCACGTAAAGGCTATTATGGAATTGCCATCCATGGCAAAGGAAAAAAATATCGCCAAACTACGTCAAATCGCGGACGGCGCCACCAGGCATCTTCACGCTCTTCAAGCTCTAAAACGTCCCACCGCGCATTGGGACGATCTATTAATTTACATCTTAAGCAATAAACTCGACACGCTTACATCGCGTGAGTGGCAATTGTCGCTGACGGGCTCCGAGCTGCCTACCTTGAAACAATTTATAGAATTCTTAGCCCATCGATGTCAAACGCTCGAAACAAGCAGTAAATCTCCCGCGGTTTCTTCAAAGGGCGCAGGCGCGCGAGCCCAGTCACAATCTAGTGCGAGGCAGCAATCCTGCGTCGCGGCCGTAAGGACAAAGTGTAGCTTTTGTAAAGGAAGCCATCTCATTTATCATTGTCAAAACTTTCTAGCGTTGCCCGTTCCGCAGAGAATCACGGAAATTCGGAAACGCAAGGCTTGCGCAAACTGCTTACGATCGACTGACCACGTCTCAAATAAGTGCCCCTCAGGCAACTGTAAACTCTGTAAATCAAAACATAATACGCTATTGCACCTTGCCGCCGCCATGCCGGCCAAGCCCGACGGCTCAGAGGTGCACGACCGCGCTACGGGGGAGCTGTCACCGGCCAGTTCTCCTGCCGCTCTTGTCACGAACAACACCACTGCTCCCGCTCGCGATTGCATTATGCTATCAACAGCTGTGGTGTGGGCGTGCGACAGTTGGGGCTCTCGCAAATCGTGCCGCGTGTTGTTGGACGCGGGATCCCAGGCTAACTTTGTTTCGCGGCGGCTTATAGAAGCCTCGGCCTTGAGACGCGTCCTTCTGACGTTGCCATCTCGGGGATAAACAAAACTGCCACGAGATCGTTTCAGGCTTCCAAGGTGCGTTTGCAATCGCGCACCAATTCGTTCGGTGTTTCCTTGGATTGCATCGTTACCGAACACATCACCGAAAGGCTACCGGCTTACACGCTCAAAAGAAGCGCCTTCGAGATTCCCTAGAATCTCGAACTCGCTGACCCGCAATTCCACGTGTCATCAGATATTGACGTGTTAATTGGCGCGGAGCACTTTTGGGATTTGCTTTGTGTTGGGCAGATCAGAGCGACTCCTTCGCACCCGACCCTACATAAGACGCGTTTCGGATGGGTTTTAGCCGGGCGTTCACACGCTCCACCAGGCCCAACGAGAAAGGTGCGCTCCTTGCATGCTATAATCTTCAACGCGCAGTTGCATAATCAACTATCGCGTTTTTGGGATATCGAAGACGTCGGTGAAGTCACGGACAATTATTCGGACGAGGAAGCTCGCTGCGAACAGCACTCCTTGCAAAACTTTTCGCGAACTGACTAAGGCAGATTCATTGTCAAGCTTCCTTTCAAGAAGCCCGGTCCCATTACCTTCGCCGATTCTAAAAATGTCTCATTGAAACGTTTCCGCGCCATTGAAAAGCGGCTTGACCGCGATCCCGATTTAAAGCTACGATATTCACAATTCATGGACGAATACCGTGAGCTAGGTCACATGAAACTAATCGACGGGAAATCGGGCGAGGATTCGGGATCCTTCTACCTTCCCCACCATTGTGTAATTAAACCCTCTCACGGATCCAGTAAATTGAGGGTTGTCTTCGATGCGTCAGCCAAGGATTCCTCCGGTTTTTCATTAAACGACGCGCTCATGGTCGGCCCGACTATTCAGCAGAACTTATTCTCTATCTTGCTGCGATTTCGCACATTCCTCTTTGCCCTCGCCGCCGACATCGTTAAAATGTACCGGCAGGTCTCCATGCACACATCACAATCTCGTTACCAACGCATTCTTTGGAGAAATGACCCCGCGTCTGACGTCGCGACATACGAGCTCCTCACGGTGACGTACGGCACCGCCTCCTTCCGCCTCCTTCTTAGCCACGCGATGCCTTAAGTGGCTAGCCGAGAATTATGCCAATGAATTTCCTATCGGTTCCGCGTGCGTCGGGCAGGATTTTTATGTCGATGACATGCTCGCAGGAGCCGACACTTTCGACGATGCAATAACCATTCGCGACGAGACGATAAGGGTCTTGCGGTTAGGCGCATTTGAATTAGGTAAATGGGCATCTAGCTACCCCGACCTGTTGACGGGTATCAAGAATCAGCATGACAGTCCCGTCGCAATCGACAACGGTCCAGAAATGTCTGTATTGGGCATCCATTGGAATCAGTTTCAGGATACGTTCCATTTCACTTACGAAGTCGATCACGGCTCTTCAGTCGTTTCCAAGCGCACTATACTGTCTGAGATCTCTAGGCTCTTTGATCCCCTGGGATTGCTGGGTCCCGTGATCGTTCAGGCCAAGTTAATTCTGCAGGAACTCTGGCAACTGGGCATCCATTGGGATGAGTCGGTTCCACAGGAGCTTTACTCGCGGTGGCTTAAACTCAAATCGCAATTAGTTAACGTCAACAAAATCTCTATCCCGCGCTGCGTTAAGTATGTTGCGGACTCCCGTTCAATACAACTGCACGGGTTCTCCGACGCCAGCCAGCAGGCTTACGGAGCGTGCATTTACCTGCGATCCGAAGTCGGAAACAACGCTTATCGCGTCGAGCTTCTATGCTCGAAGTCTCGCGTCGCGCCTCTCAAGACGCTATCTCTACCGCGCCTCGAACTTTCGGCGGCATTATTTGTGGCCAGATTGATCAAGAAAATTGGGTCGTTGTTCAACTCGACCGGCATGCGAATATTTTTATGGACAGACTCCACGATAGTCCTAAACTGGATATTTCTCCGTCGCGAAGATGGTCGGTATTTGTCTCCCACCGAGTCGGGGAAATTCAAAACATAACCAATCCTAGCGACTGGCGCCACGTCAAGTCATCCGATAACCCGGCCGATGCCTTATTGCGCGGCCTCGACCCGCAAGAGCTGACAATGCCCTCCATATGGTGGCACGGCCCCACTTTCCTGTCAGCCAACAGTCACGATTGGCCCAGCTCTGACTTCGCGCGGTCAATGGAAAATCTTCCTGAACAGAGGAAATGTTACGCGGCCGTCTTTGACTCCGATCATTCCATCGTAGATGAATTGCTAAGCAAGCAGTCAAGCCTTAACAAGGCATGCCGTATTCTCGCATACTGTTTTAGATTTTTCAGGTCTCGCCGACCTGACAAACCTACGGCCTTTGTGTCCCATCAAGAGATATCCAGAGTGCTGGAAGCCATGTGCAAATCCTCTCAGCTCCAGGGCTTCCCTGAGGAGCACAAGGCATTGTGCAAAGGACGTCCCCTTAGCACATCGAGCAGCATACTGTCTCTATCTCCATTCATGTCTGAGGACGGGTTAATGCGGGTAGGAGGCTGACTGGGTAACTCAAATCTAGAATTCAACGCTCGTCATCCTGTTTTAATGCCGCGGAATCACATACTGACCCAGCGCATAATCGAGCGAGAACACGTGCAAAACGCCCACGCTGGTGTACAGGCCACCATGGCGGCGGTAAGACAACGTTTTTGGCCGGTATCTTTACGCTCAGCGGCACGAAAAATAATAAATGGGTGCATACCGTGCTTCAAAGCCAAACCTACTCATTCCGAGGCGATCATGGGGTCCTTGCCTGCAGGACGCGTAACCGCTTCCAAACCCTTCGACCATTGCGGTGTTGCTTACGCCGGTCCGTTCACAATGCGCGAATCCAAACGGCGCAACGCCCGCGCGCACAAAGCATACCTGTCGCTTTTCGTGTGCTTCGCCACTAAAAGCGTACACCTCGAGCTCGTCAGCAACCTCACATCGGAATCTTTCATAGCCGCGTTTAAGCGATTCATATGGCGTAGAGGAAAACCTGTTTGTATGTATTCGGACAACGGAACCACGTTCATCGGGGCTCAAGCACAGCTCAAGGAGTTTGTCAATTTCCTACGCGACGATCAAACTCAATCAGACATAGTTCAGTTTTTACGCGAACAAGAGACCACGTGGAAATTCATCCCACCTAATGCACCTCATTTCGGCGGCCTGTGAGAGGCCGCTGTTAAATCCGCGAAGCGTCATCTTTGCAAAATCGCCGGAAAGACCCTGTTAACTTATGAGGAATTACAAACGTTATTTTGCGAGATTAAGGCAGTTCTAAACTCGCGCCCAATTACTCCTTTAAGCGAAGATCCCAACGATCTGATTTGCTTGACCCCGGGTCATTTCTTAATTGGCACCCCTCTCAATAGTTTCCCTTGCCACGATCTAACCAATGTAAGCGATAACAGACTTGTGCTCTGGCAGTGCGTCGAGCAGGCTAGACAACATTTTTGGCGCAGGTGGAGCCTAGAGTACCTGCATACGTTATAGGAGCGATTCAAGTGGAAGACCAATAAGGGGAACCAGTTAAAACCCAATCAGATGGTGCTACTAAAGCAGCAGGGCCTGGCGCCTCTCCAATGGTTACTCGGCCGAGTCGCGGAAGTCCATCCAGGATCCGACGGTGTGGTGCGAGCCGCCACAATTCGTACGGCGAAGGGTTTGCTTACCAGGCCATTGTCGAAAATCGCCGTTTTACCAGTTGATACGTAACCCATTCACCGGCTTCACACGTACCAATGTAATGTTGCGTCCTTACCTTCTCATTTTGTTAATCCGCTTAAATGTCTCTATACCGATTTTATCCGGAGAAGCCTTTGTACTTTTGTTTCCTTTAGATACGTAATGCATACACCCGTATCATATGAACCTAATGTAAGATTGAGCCTATACATTCCTATTTTTATTTTTATTTTTTGCGTTCACAGTATGGCCTTTAATTCACTTAAACGTTTCCTTGCGATCACGCACCTGAGCCAGGTTTCAAAAAGGCCAAATATCCGAGTCAGCTCAGGAATTATTTTTCGTTTCAACGAACTAGTTTATATCCAGAGTTCAAGTTTACCCCGTATTTTATACACGAATAGCGCTTTGAAAATATGTCCTTTCAACGGGGGCGGCGTATGTTTAATATTAATTCAGCACTTTGCGCCTTTCAAATTTCGCGGTATGTCACAGCGATTCGCCTGCGCCCATTCGGTCATCTGCGCGACGCTTCGGCAGCGTTCGGCTCCTCAATCCAAGCAATATCGCGCCGGCCTGGAAGCCGGGTCCTCTCGGGAGAAAAACTGTCTGTACAACGTGAGCGGCCATCAGGCAATAAAGTTTTATTTTTGTGAGATCCATAGCACAAATTCATTCGGGAGAATCCAGTTCCCGGCCTACGTAAGGCAATCATCGAGCACACATTATCTACAATAAATCCTAAATAAGAGGGACACGTGTCCTTCGAGCACGCTTCCCGAAGCAGTGAATACTGGGGAAACGCGTGTGGCACATGCCGCCATTGTCATTGTCAAGACGACGCATGCCAGAATCCTCAACAACATGAAAGTTCATCTGGACGTAAAATTTTGCGCTCTTTCAAAATCCGGGATCAAAAATATGGGTTTCTATTTGAAAATTGAAAGTAGACCTTCAAATAACCCTGAAAATGAATATCAAGGTCATTGTCAAGGTCATAGTTCAATCAGCCCCTTCATATCCAACAATTTTTGTTTTAAATATTTTTTTATTTCATCGCGATGTTTCGAGTTATTTGGCTGTCTAAGTTAAAATGGGTCACCCTGTATATATACATATACATATAAATATATACATATAAATAAATAAATAAATAAATAAATAAGTAAATATACATATATAGATTACGTCGCTGTCCGCGATTATTTGTTTATTTCCTTCCTTCTTCATGGTATCGTATTACACGCGCGTCATCGCGCTCGACAAATCGCGCTCTTATTATCGCGAGCAGTGCGAATAATTATACGATATATATAAAATAAAATATAATATAAT